CAGTATTAGTAGGCTCCTCACTAGTTTGAGCTGGGTTATCTCCTATTAATACTGGTTTAGGGCAGTACTTTCTCCTTTTTCTTATTTTTCCATCAAAGTGGTCAAAACACAAGTCAATATCGGAAAAGGGGAACACATTATCCTCGGCCGATTGACTAATTTCTGATAAATTTTGGTCCCTCTTTTGTACAGCTGCCCATAATTCTAGAAAATGAGGAAAGTCTCTACCGATCACTACCTCATGGGCTAATCTAGGTACTACACCCACTCGGTACTTTAAATCCCCATACTGGGTTCCAATATTTACTTCCGCAGTGGGGTATTCCTTTTTATCACCATGAACACAGATAATGCCTATTTTCTGTACATGATCAGGTTTTACACAAGGTATTATAGACTCTGCTACCAACGTAACCATACTACCTGAATCAAGTAATGCTTTAGACATTTTTCCATTCACAGTTACACAGCATTTATGAGGGTTATTATCATAGTCATTGTTAACAGTACCATAACAGTTGAGCAAAAATGAACGTGCTCCCTCATCTTTGCCCATATTGCATTCCATAGGTTCATCCTTCAATGGACAGTCTTTGGCCATATGACCATCCTCTTTGCACTTGAACAGTCTTACCAGGTCTTGCAGAATCTTGGGGCTTAGGATTGCGGGGGTTTTCCTGTGAAGTAGGACGTAGCAGTTCTCCTGCAGCCACATATCTTTCCACCAAGGCAATCAGTTGGTCAGCTGTGTGGGGGTCACTTTGGCTGACCCAGCGACGCAGGGCAGCTGGTAAACCACGCAAAAACCGGTCCATTACTAAGGTTTCCACAATGTGGTTAGCTGAATGGATTTCAGGTTGTAGCCATTTCCGTGCAAGGTGTATGAGGTCAAACATTTGGGAACGCGCGGCTTTGTCTGAAGAATATGACCATGAGTGGAACCTTTGGGCACGTACTGCAGAGGTTACACCCAGTCGTGCCAAGATTTCAGCTTTCAATTTGCTGTAGTTACTTGCATCGGATGGTTCTAGGTCATAATACACCTTCTGCGGCTCTCCACTTAGGAACGGTGCCAGTATGCTTGCCCACTCACCAGCCGGCCATCCCTCCCTCTCAGCAGTGCACTCAACATCCTCCATGTTGAGTTTTAAATGACTTCTACCCTCAGGCTTACGTGGCTGCCCGCATTCTCCACCATATGTAACAAACCACCTCTTTTACAGGTAGGATTGTCACAGATCTTGCATTAACCACAGCCTTCTAGGGTATACAAAGTCCAGGACACATTCAGCTCGGTTTTCCTTTTTATTCAGTAAGAAAACAGGTGCTTTAAATAATAACAAAACAAACAAAATCCCTTGCGCTTACTTGAGCTCTTACTAGACAGTAATTGCTATCTGCAATTGGGTGGCTTTCCCACTTACCAATTTTCCAAACAAAAGAAATGTCTTTGCAATAAACACAATCTCTCCTAGCTGTCTTTTTCTCCCTCACTCTGCAGCAGGCTGCCCTCTTCTTTTAAAGGCCTGTCTACTAATTGACTGGCTACAGGTGAGTGCCAATTAACTAACTCGTAAGTCAGATCCAAATAGTGGTCTGTTACACAGCAACTAATGCTGTTGGAGCATTGGCCCACCCTGCTCTCCAAATACTCCGCCCCAGGGAGCCATAACATGTTTTGCAGAACCTTAGCAATGTAGATTGCAAACTCTAACATTAGAAACTGGGGCATTTAACTGAACATTCTCAGGTTGCTGTTTAACAAATCAGGCCTGATGTATCTTCCATCAAGCACAATTCCACTTTTACGCTCACAATATATATATATATATATATAATATTTCAGGAGGGGAGATTTACTTATATATTTTTTAAATTTATTTTTAAATGTTTTGTTCACAATTTTATTTTTACTGAGTGCCTCGACCCCTCGAGTCACTTAGCACACAGGCAGAGCATCGGAAGCCTGTCTGATGGCTTCCAATGCTCTGCCTCACTGCCGGGCGCCACATGGGGCAAAACAGAAGTGATCGCCCCAGGGGAACGATCACCCGGTGGCCCGGCAGTGAGGAGGGGTATTGCAGGATGCCTCAACATCTAGGCATCGCTTCAATACCATTAGAGTGGCTGGAATTCGATTCCAGCGCTTAAATGTGCCGTGGACATTTTAGGTACGGCAGAGGTTGTTAATGACCAGTTTTTGTCGGACATACCGTTCTATTTTTTAATAAAAGGAGGCTGCATTTTAAAGAAACTTTTTTATAAAAAATAATATGTACTTTCACCCAACCATCCCCCTACTAACACCTATGAGATCTGCAATAGATAAAAAAGTAAGAATTTCGAGAAGGATGCTTACAGACCCAAACATACCATTTTGGCAGTGCACAAAAGGTGCCTGGTTTGTGGTGATTGTCCCTGGGTAATTTTATGTTATTTTAGCTATTGATACATATTAGGTTAATATAAGTGCAGTAAATTTCCGTTCCCCAGCACTCCACGCAGAACGTTACTTGAGGGATATCACCCACTACCCTTTAGTTGCTAGTGGAGCAATATAACTTGTCTTTTTTCATATGAGGGTGCATTGAGAAGCATTTAGAATGAAAATAAAAAAAATAATATCCTATGCAGCTCCTATGAGAGCTGAAATATATATATATATATATATATATATATATATATATATATATATATATATATATATATATAAAAAAAAAAAAAATTAAGATTTTCCCCTTAGGAATCATTACAGACTCAAACATGTAATTTCTGCAGTATGTACCTACTGTCTGGTAGGCTGAGACCGTCCCAGGGCTGAATGTTTTTTTAGCTCTTGATATATGTTATGTTTTTATCAGTCAAGTGTAATTAAAGAAACTAATAAAGAAACTAATGTTCATAAAGTGGATACACACCCAATATTGTGTGGTGGGCACTAATTTACTCTTGTGAACAGGGCCAGATTAAGAGCCCAGTGGGCCTGGTGCTGACAATTATGACGGGCCTAATTACAGAATCATATCGACCAAAAACAGTAAAACACTCCCAAGCGTCATGTATCTGATGGAGAGAAAGAAAACAGCAGCTATAATAAAACACATACCGTAGGCTAATCTCTCTCTAATTTATGTTTTCATCTTTTAAGTAAATCCATAACCCCTAACAGCAGTGTCCAGTCAAGCAGGAAGTCAATGGGCGGGGTAAAAGGGTGTGCCAAAGTCAGCATTACCTTAAAGGATCACTATAGGCTCAGGAACACAAACATGAATTCATGACCCTATAGTGTTAACACTACCATCTAGCCCCCCTGGGCCCCTCATGCCTCCATAAATATAGCGAAATCTTACTATATTCAAGCCTGAAGCTGTAACTCTGCATGCTGTTAGACTCAGAAAAACAAGCAGTCTGCTGACATCATTAGAAGTGATGGCCTAATCCAATCACAGTGCTTCCCCATAGGATTGGCTGAGACTGACAAAGAGACAGATCAGGGGCAGAGCCAGCATGATTCAAACACAGCCCTGGCCAATCAGCATCTCCTCATAGAGATGAATTGAATCAATGAATCTCTATGAGGAAAGTTCAGTGTCTGCATGCAGAGGGAGGAGACACTGAATGTTTGGATGCATTTTAGGCAGCCATGACCCAGGAAGGATCCCTAACAGCCATCTAAGGAGTGGCCAGTGAAGTTATCACTAGGCTGTAATGTAAAGACTGCATTTTCTCTGAAAAGACAGTGTTTACAGCAAAAAGCCTGAAGGTAATGATTCTACTCACCAGAACAAATTCAATAAGCAGTAGATCTTCTGGTGACTCTAGTGTCCCTTTAACTATATTCATTGTCAGCCAGTCCACACAAGTTTTGCTCCCATACATCCCTCTTAAGTTTCCATACTTAAGTAAGAGTATGTGAAAAGAGTATGTGCCACCTTTCTTGGAAAAACATACCGGCCTTGCTAATTTGCATAATTAAATATGTATGGGTGACATCACATGATGTAAATCACAAGGAGTGACATAAGAGAAAATGCTGTAAAATCACCAGAAAACTACTTAGTTTGATTCTGCTGTATAGATGTCTCCCAATGCCCCCATGTGTCGATTACTACAGGTCTCAGTGTTCCTATGTATCAGTGTCTCAGTGCCCATGTCTCCCAGTGTCCCCTAGTGTTGTGTCCCCAGGTCTCCCAGTGATCCTATGTATCACAGTGTCTCAATGCCCCATGTCTCCCTGTGTCCCCATGTATCCCAGGGTCCCCATGTCACTAGGAAGACGGGAAGACCTGGGGACACGGGGAGACCTAGGGACATGGAGACACCAGTGACACTGGGAGACTAGGGGACGCAGGGGGACACTGGGAAAATAGGGGACACTTGAAGACATGGGGACACAGACACTAGAGACACTGGCTGGGGGACATGGGGGCACTGGGAGACATGGGGACAAGGAGACACCAGGGCCACAGACACTAGGGACACTAGCTTGGAGACATGGGGACATTGAGACACTTGAGGCACTGGGAGACATGGAGGCACTAGGAGACATGGGGACAGTGAGACACTGGCAGACTGCGGGGCACTGGGAGATTAGGGGGCACTGAGACACCAGGGACACTGGCTGGGAGACATGGGGACACTGTGTCCCCATGTGTCTGTGTCATAATGTCTCCCAATGTCCCTTAGTGTCTCAGTGTCTGCCATAATGTCTCCCAGTGTCCCTTAGTGTCTCTGTGTCTGCCATGTCTCCCAGTGTCCCTTAGTGTCTGCCATAATGTCTCCCAGTGTCCCTTAGTGTCTCGGTGTCTGCCATGTCTCCCAATGTCCCTTAGTGTCTCATTGTCTGCCATAATGTTTCCCAATGTCCCTTAGTGTCTCAGTGTCTGCCATAATGTCTCCCAATGTCCCTTAGTTTCTCAGTGTCTGTCATAATGTCCCTTAGTGTCTCAGTGTATGTCTCCTTGCAGCCTTTCCCCATCCCTTACTTCCCTGAGCTGTAGGCTGCCTCTGCAGGGTGGGAGTTTCTGTCTGGACTCTCTGTAGCTGCACCCCTGCAGATTAGTGAGTATAGATAGGCAGGGAGGGATATGCTGGAACTTCCTATCCCTGCCTCTCTCCATACACAGTGACCCCTACTGGCCAGTGCTGGTATTGCATAGTAATCTCTTGTTTATACTGAGAAAAATACCAGCATTTGTATTGCCAGTATCACTGTAATATTGGCACCAGCCAGGCAGCCTCAAATACTGTCTGTGACAATAAAATAAAAAGCCAGGTGGACTCTAAGAGTAGTGTGTGAAAAAAAAATTTAAAAAAAAAAAAAATTTCATTTTTTTTTTTTTATAAATCAATGGGCCTATTCCATGGGTCTGGGCCTGGAGCTGCAGCTCCATCAGCCCCTATGTTAATCCGGCCCTGCTTGTGAATGCAATATTCAAAGGTATGTGCTAATTGTGTTCAAACATTCTACCCTATGATATTGGATATATTTTGGTTTTTAGTATTATTTTTTTTCTGTTTCTATTTTACTTTGTATGATTTGGAACAGTAAAAAAAAAAAAAAAAAAGATTTTCTGTGTTCTCACTGGTCGTGATTTTTGTTGTTGTTTTCTTGAACTGCTGTTTAGCAAAACATGTCCAAACATGTCCTTTTTTATCCATCTACTGTCCACTAGTTCTTCTATCATCTAATTATTTCCTCCCCACCCCAAATGCTTCTTGAGCCTCTCATTCTACTCTCTAATTTAACACATTGCCTGTATAAAGATGTCAAGTACTATTTTCCCATAAAACACAAGAGAACACCTTCAATCACACTGTATATTCATAATAATGATTCCCATTAATTCAACAGGGTGGGTTACTTCTAATATCCAGCATCTTATAGCTGACTTATAACACATTTAAACTGTAAAACCTACTAGGATTTAGCAGTTCCTTGTTTGTTTTTTTTTGGTTTTTTTTTATTCAACATATTGTTCATATGTTATTCTCTTAAAACAGAGACTGTTAAAGGCACCAATTTAGGGCCCACATTTGCTTTCCTCTCCTTAACATCCCATGAGTATTAGATTTTGTTGACCTACCATCTATGGGGGCTTTTCTATTCAACGTTTCTATTAAAAGAGAAACCCTACAAACACACACAAAATATAAGGCAGGAGTGATAAACTCAGGACACCCAGTTGTTGATGGACAACACTGCCTACCATTATTAAATTAAATTATCATAGACTGGCAGAGAATTACAGGAGTTGTAGGGGGTCCAATCTTGACAACACTGTGTTATAGGAATACATACACAAACAATGTTAGGAGACCCTAGATGCCTTTTTCAAATGTTTCACTCACTAATGAGCTCCATTTTGCCTTCACCTACCTCCTCGTCTCACTGCTGTCAATTTTCCATCCTACTACTCAGAAAAGAACCACAACATCCGAAAAGAAATTGCCTTGCTCGCTTCTCCCCTTTACGGTCTGACTCTTCCTGGCCTCCTCCTCTACACTTAGCATCTTACATCATGTTTCTGAAGTTTGATATTTCTGCACTTCTCCTTTCTTTCTGCCCTCCCATATCATAATCTCTTTCTCTCGCACCTTACTCAATTTCCCTCATCTGCAAAATTTCCATCTTTGACTATCTATCATCCTATCTCTCTCCTTCTCGACATGTTCAGACTACCTAAACCCCAATTCCTTACTTGACATACTACAGTCTGGCTATTGCTCCCAAAGAGCGCCCTAAGCAAGTTGATGACTGAGTGAAAGCCAAATCCAAAGACTATTAGGATCAAATCCTGATCTTTCTGCCACTTTCAAAACTATTGATCACCAATTTAACCTTCTCACCTTTTGCAATCTTGGCCTCAGTGATACTGCTCTTTACTGGTTCTCTTTTACACTTGGGTCTCCTTTTCTTATTTCACCTCCCCTTTTGTACCTCTTTCAGTTGGAGCTCCTCAAGGCTCTCTACTGGGACATCTTTTCTCAAGTTAAACTGCTTCTTCTGGTAAACTCACCCTATGGCGTTCAATATTACTTGTACCTCCCCTCGCTTGATCTTTATCCCTATCTCCTGAATCATGTCACCGACTGCCTCTTCTCTATTTATGGTTAAATGACTAATCCTATTCAAGACCAAACATCTTTCATCCCTCTAAATCTACATCAACATACCAATCACAACCTCAACCATACATCCACGTTGTCTTGGTGTACTCTTCGACTTTGACTTTTCCTTCACCCCTTACACAAAATCTATCACCAAATCCTGTCATTGTCACCTTAAAAACATCCTGTTTACCTCATTCTCACTCAAAATGCAACTAAAACACTTATCCATGCTCTTATGGTTTCCCGCCCTGATTATTATAACACTCTCCGTTTCAGACTTAAAAGTGCTCAGATTGCTCCTCTACAGTCAGCAATGAATGCTTCTGCCAGATCCGTCAATGTCGCAGAAGTTGCTGACTGTAGAGGGGGGATTTTCACACTGCACCCCTCTGCTAGTCTGTACACTGGCTTGCTGATTCATTTGGGATTAGGTTCAAAAGTTTATAACCATGACTTTGCTTACATCTCATCCCTCAGATCAGCCTCTTTGCTCAGTTAACTACCTTTTATTGTCCTTTTCTTGCACCCTCACCCAGATTTTCACTTGCAAGACTTCCCAGGGCTTTAATGGGATATCTGACTCAGTCTTTGATATTCTATTATAGTATATTTCTTATGTTATAATATGTATCACCTGCAAAAATCACCTGCAAAAATACAAAGATAAAATACCTTAAAACCCAAATCAACACTCATCTAGAGGAGCCTATAATCTCTCCCCTTAACTCATCATACCCTCCAACCTACCCCTGCTCTCCTACCTACCATATATACACGCTGACACAGATGCACACAATGACAACATATATATATATATAAATATATACACACACTGACACAAAGATACACAGACAAATATAGTGACAGATGTGCTGACAGACATACTTACTGTGATAAAGTGAAGGCAGATAGGCCTTTTAACCCCAGGGGGAGTATGTGTAGTTTGTGTGTTGCACAACACAACGCATTGTTTAGTTATGGGCCCCTGGGGTGGAGCATTTGGAGAGAAGGGTGGGCCAATGCTCCACTCCACAGTTTAGTGGTGTTCTGGGGAGACCTAGATCCAGGCCAGGGTTTTTTGGACTGTCTCCAACCCACTGCTCAGCTGCAGGTAATCAGCTGTTGCAGTGGGAATAAACTCCTCCCGGCTAGGCAGGAAAAGGAGAGGGATTGCTGGCTTCCTCCCAGGAAGCAGGTAGGAGAGAGAGGCTGTTCTCTCCAGATAGTCAAGGTGACTAGGCACTTGGAGTGCAGAAAGGAAGCAGTCAGGGCAAGACTGGCTTGGAGCACTGGGAGTGCAGAAAGGAAAGCAGTCAGGGCAAGGCTGGCTTGGAGCACTGGGAGTGCAGAAAGCAAAGCAGTCAGGGCAAGGCTGGCTTGGAGCACTGGGAGTGCAGAAAGGAAAGCAACAGGTTAGATAGCAGAGCGTTGCTCTCTAATAAGGTTGGTGCAATATTGTGTTTAGTTTAACCCTGAGAGATAGGGAACTAATGTCAGTTAGTGCTCAGACGAGCTAGGTGTTTGTTTATAGGGTTTTCTGTTACTTTTGTTTTTCATTTACTGCCGTATCCTGTGTGGATTTACAAATAAAGTGCCTGAGTATATGCAATTACAAGGACTGTGCATGTTTTTACCCTAGAGGGCCGTGCTACCTGGTGACAAGGATCACATTACACAGACACATACACACACAGACATACTGACACACACATACACTGACAGAGATACAGGCACACACACACAAACATATACTGACATTGATACTGACACACACACTGACAGACATTATGCTCTATTGCAGATATTTATTTTCTGTTCTGTGCTGGTAGTAGGCTGTTGATTTTCTTAGAACTGCCGAGGTATTAGCAATAGTACATTGTTACCTATGGCTATATGATTACCTATGGCTATGTGATTATATCCTGCAATATTAGTTAGCACCATTACCACTGCTCTTGTAGATTCTTGTGTAGCTGTTCTGCAAAGAATCAATAACAATAAGAGATAAGAGCATTTAAGAACAATGAAATTCAAAGACCTGACTATACGATTTATGCAGTGCTGCCTGATAGTTCATTAACAAGCACCCGAGATGCAGGGTCGTCTTTAACACGGGGCAAACGGGGCAGCTGCCCCGGGCCCAGTTACTCCCGGGGGGGCCCAAAGCAGCTGCCCCGTGGCCCCACCGCCCATCACCTGCATAAGAAAAATTCCCTCCCCACCCATGTTCCCACCCATGGTCTATGGGGGCCCATCGGGTGGCCAATACACTTAGGGCCACCCGGTGAGCACGTTACAGCAGGGGGCCCAGTCGGGTGCTGTAGCCCTTTAACAGCACGACCGGGCCCTCTGATTTTTACGGCAGCATGGGAGGAAGTGACGTCGGTGAGTCACTTCCTCCCTCTGAGATGATGAGCCGCGCAGGAGGAAGGCTGAGCCAGGAGGCAGCGAGGAGGGGGACTGAGCAAAGAGAGCCAGTCCCCAACTCCCAACCACCCCAACCAGCACACTGGACCCCAGGGAAGGTAGGAAACTAGAGGGGGCTTTACAGTTTGCATATTATGTCAGTATGTGTGTGTTTATGTCTGTCAGTAGGTCTGTGTGTGTGAGTATGACTGTGTGTGTGTGTCTGTCAGTAGGTCTGTGTGTGTCTGTCACTAGGTCTGTGTGTGTGTGTGTCTGTCACTAGGTCTGTGTGTGTGTGTGTCTGTCAGTAGGACTGTGTGTGTGTCTGTCACTATGTGTGTGTGTCTGTCAGTAGGTCTGTGTGTGTGTGTGTGTCTGTCACTATGTCTGTGTGTGTGTGTCTGTCAGTAGGTCTGTTAGTATGTCTGTGTGTGTGTGCCTGTCAGTAGGTCTGTGTGTGTGTGTGTGTCTGTCAGTAGGTCCATGTGTGTCAGTATGTCTGTGTGTCAGTGTGTTTGGGTGTCAGTATGCCTGTGTGTGTCAGTATGTCTGTGTGTGTGTGCCTGTCAGTAGGTGTGTGTGTGTGTGTGTCTGTCAGTAGGTCCATGTGTGTCAGTATGTCTGTGTGTCAGTGTGTTTGGGTGTCAGTATGCCTGTGTGTGTCAGTATGTCTGTGTGTGTGTGTGTGCCACTATGTCTGTCT